ACATAATCCAGTACAGACTATACTTCTTTCTCATTCTTCTGATTTTGAAAGAAATGAAACATTTAAAAGAGATTAAAAATCCTGGGGACCCCAGGCACTGTGCCTACTGCATCCCCTTGGCCCTCCAGCTACTGTCTTAATTTTGGCTCCTCTTCTAACAAAACCCCTTGTGGAAGATGCTATTTTCCAAAAATTGCACAGCAACAGATCTGGTCTCACTCGTTCCTCCCAACAAGGGAAGAGTCTATTTCTCCTCTTCAACCTGGATGGGACTTTGTGGCTACTCATTGGCGAGAAGAGGCAAAAGGGACACTGGGTGACTTCCATCAAAGGCGATAAGGCTTCTGCCTGGCTCTCCCTCAGGACTCGCCCTTGGAGCTCAGCCCCGTATTGTGGGAAGCCCAGAGCACCTGCGGCGGTTCCGGCTGGCAGCCCGCCTCAACCACCAGGAGTGTCGGGTGAGTGACTCTGCAGATGGCTCCAGCCCCTGTCTTCCAGCCACTGTAGCTGATACCAAATGGGGCATTGTCCCCACAGAGCCGTGACCAAGCTGATAGCTTCGTGTGCGAAGTGTCACTGAAGCTACTAGGGGTTGGGTGTTTTTCAGGTAGCAATAGATAACTGAACATTCTCAAAACTGTTCTGCATCCTCTTCTTTCTTATTCACTCAGCTTACTCCAGTTGGATGCTCTCATCCTTGTCGGTCCATGGAGAAGTGGTCACCAATGACCTACTTTTCTTACTCAATCTGCCAACAGATTCATCCCGGTTCAACCAATGAATTCTTTCCTCAAACACTCCAGGTTTCAAGAACCCACACTCCTCTGATTTCACTCCAACCTCACTGATCACTCATCTCCTTCGCTCACAGTTCCTCCTGTTTAACAAATCTCTTCCGGCCCGGGGCTCCCAGGCTCCTGGTCGGTACCCTTCCCACCTCCCCACAGTGCCCCCCAGGTAAGCTCATTCACCCCCACATACTATTGGTAGGCTGAGTCCTTCTTCAATCTTTTCTTTCTCTTAGATCTCAATCTACCGGTGGGCCATTCCGTCAGCTCTGCCTCCAAACCATATTCTGAATCCAACTACTTCTCATCACCTCCATTACTGCATCTCTCGTCCAGGCCGTGTCCTCACACCTGGTCCCCCGCAGCAGGTCCTAAACTGGTGTTTCTGCCCCCTTTCACAATCCCTCCCCAGCACCAGAATAATGTATTCTACAGCATCAACCTCATCTGTCATTCTCCTGCTGCCAACCTTCCAATGGCTTCCCATTCACACTCAGAATTAAATCCAAGCTCCTTCCCACAGCCATGGCACGTGACACAATCTAGCCCTTGCCTACTTGGGTCTTCATGTTCCTCGGCCCTTTTCCCCAGACACGCTAAACTCATGGGGTCTTACCATTGATTGTTCCTGCTGCCGGGACTGCTCTTCCCCTCTGGCTTCCCATGGCTGTCTTCTTGACACTCTTCCCTCCTCAGAGAGAGATTTCCCAAGCCCACCTCAAGTAGCCACTCAAGACATTCTGACACTATCCTATTTTATTTGCTTCATCATGCTTAACTGAATCTTATTCTTTTCCCCCCCTTATTATGTCTTCTCCACCAAGTCCAAGATCCTTGAGGAGAGGACTTCACCGTATACATGGAATTCTCAGTGTCCAGAACAGTGCTTGGCACATACAAGGAACTCAAATACTTATTGAGTCACTGAGCAAAGTGCTCAGCACACAGGCAGTGCTGAATGAATGTGAGCTCTTACTCCTTAATTTGATAGAACAACTCCCTTGATTCCTTTGAGAGTGCCTGGGTTCGCAGGTAGCTGTTGATGTGAAAAGGCAGTGGGATTTTGGAACTGGAAGAGGCCTTGAAGATCATGCGGCCCAGTGATTTCTAACCTTTTCCCCATCACCTCACACCTGAAGACATGTGCCCAGCAGCTGCTGAGGCTCTGCACCAACAGCACCTTAACTGGCTGGGTGTGAAGGGGTGTCACCCCTGTCTCTTTGTGTTTATCGATATTCAAGCAACATTGAGGAGTGACGAAAGCACAGCACCTGTGCTCAAGTTAAGAAGCTATATGGGCGAGGGGGGGCCTGGGTGGCTCAGCCGGTGAAGCATCTGCCTTCCGCTCAGGTCATGATCTCAGGGTCCTGGGATCAAGCCCCACATGGGGCTCCCTGCTCGGGGAGCCTGATTCTCCCTCTGTTCCCTGCTTGTGCTCTCTTTCTCTCTCAAATAAATAAATAAAATCTTAAAAAAAAAAAACAACTATGAATGAAATTAACTTGATTTAGCCTCTGGTCAAGGAATCTAAAATTCAGTTGGCTTCTTTCGTTTGGGTCAGTCGTCCATGACCTGCCCTTAAATACTGCTGAGCTGTTGAGGTATAAATATACCGTTTTAAAGAGGATTAGGAGCCATACAGAGAAATAATAGCTGGAAGTGAGTAACAATAGCAACGATTTAAGGAGGGCAGGGTTAGGAATTGAGTAGGGATTTGCAGAGAACCCTGGGGACCGTAGGCGGTCAGCCATAAGCCTGGCTCCAGGAGTAATGTTTGAAAGCTACAAGCCAGAGTCTGCTGAGCCCTGGATGGGCCTAGCCTGAAGGCCTACTGTAAATCATCGTGCCAATTGTTGATCCTGTCGCACCCTCGGACACTTAGGACCAGTGTCAGCCCTGAGACCACAGGGATTGCCCTGTATATTATGCTTCTTGCCTTTACTCATACACATTTACACCTTCTATTCTTTAGATATTTTCCCCCTAGTCAATCTCACTTTTTTTTTTAAGTCAGCTCCACACTCAGTGTGGAACCCAATGTACGGCTTGAACTCACGACCCTGAGATCAAGACCTGAGCTGAGATCATGAGTCGGATGTTTAACTGGCTGAGCCACCCAGGTGCCCCCAATCTCTTTATTTCTAAGCCTTAGGGAAATGAGTAGGTTTTGCTCATGTACAAGGGGAAATGAATTTGGATTTTAGGTTTGAATATTCTGCATTTAATATGTGGACATCTGAATACTTCCTAGCCTTTCTAGGCTGTCCCTGTCTTTAACTGGAACTCACACCAGTCAGTTGCACTTGTGGTCTCAGCTTCATCTGTGAACTGGAAGGGTGATTGAGTGGGCTAGTCATAACTTGGTTTTCTCTCCTGTAAAATGGAGGTAATAATTGTGACCACTTTATTGGGTTGTTATGAAGATTAAGTAAGATAGCATCTGTAATGACTATGTAAAATGCTTGGCATAATGGGTGGTGGTGATTATAATAAGCACGTTATATGTTTTCTCATCTAAATTAAACTTCGCATCAACTTCAGCAAGTAAATGACTTTGCAGCCACTCTAAGTGTTGTCCTCACCTTGGAGATACTGAGGTCCTTTCCAGCTGGTTTTTAAACAGTACCTACAGCACGCAAACACCTGGAGCCTCACCAGCTGTGTATGGCCAGCCAGTAACAGCTATTATATAGTGGATGTCTATTATCCGCCCGGTATGATGTGAGGCGCTTCTAAGCGATCTAATTTAACACTCCTAACCTTAATAAGTAGGTATCGTTTCCTACATTTTACTAATGAGGAAACTGAGGCTCTGCCAGGGTTAAGTATCCCGCCCAAGTTTAAAGCAGTTAGGGGGTTGAACTCTTACTGGACTCAGGCCTGACTCCAAAGTCTGTGTTTTCTCTACTCTGCTACTCATTCAAGTTGTGGTAAACCTAAATAATACAATGTAGGAAAGGAGCAATGGTAGCTTTAACAAATAGAAATGTTAGGAAATTAGACTACTGGCTGAAAATAATTGCTGTACATATTTACTGTGGCATGTAAAAATGGCCAAAAGAACCTGTCAGTGATTTGTTTTGAAACCATCAAAACCCGCCCCGAGTGAGTCTAATGTGTGGAAGTCGATCAATAACTTTAAACAGACGATAACATTATTTTAATATAAAAAGGAAATATATCTCAATCAGAGAAAGCAACAATGAACCCAGGGTTACACCTCAGTAACAAAAAATAACCTCACTTCCTACCTGCCTTGTGGTTCATTCCATCAGGTAATTTTCTCTTATGACCTCCCTTCCCCACATGGATAAAACATGCTACTTGGGTATTAATTCTGATTTTCAGCATAGGCATTTTTCTCAGGAGACCCAATTAAAAAAAGGTCCTGTCAGGACGAAGAAATGATCTTGTTTGTATCAGGAAGTAGGCCTCAAATATGCCAAATACTTTTGTCAAAAAAATATCATTAGTTTTTGTTAGGTATGTAGTTTATTTGTATATTCACCTTAAAACAAGATTTTAAAATATATAATTTGAAGTGCTAAGTAATCTGGTTTATAGACTGCTTTAGTCTGAAAACAGCTCGAAGTGGATGCACACCTTGAAAGGAGCTCACAGAGTCACTGGAGGCGAGTTTGCATAAATCATCTTATGATACAGTGATTAATACTGTTTATAAAAGATTTAAGTGATCTGTAATTAAGAAATTATTTCTTTTAAAGTAAAAATGGGTCACAGATTGCTGCTTTGCTAGATACAGTTCCGTTATATTGCTCTTGTTTTATCGACTAGTTCTTAATCCCGAAGCTTATACCTGGGATAAGCATGCTTTAGGCATTTGTGAATGACACCGTCAACAACTGAGCTGGGAACTGAGTGAGGTCACAGGGCACAAGGCTGTAACTCTTTCCACGTTGATGACAGTACTGTAGGTCTGATCCATAAGCAGCATGCATGTGGAACGGTGATACCTGACAGAGTATCGGGGAAAAGAGAACCGGGAGGCCGGTTTAAGGGGGAGAAACTGAGGAGTCCTAACGACCCTGAAGACGTGAAGGAAACTGCAGAAAGATATGGACCCAATTGTGCTGTAAGGAGAAACGAATCACTCCCTTGGGGTTGATATACCTGCAGTTGCAGCACATTGTAGCCTTGCCTCTTTCAGGCCTTTAACTTCGATTTAATTTCATGGAAAAATAGACCTCTCCAAACAGAAAGAATGCCATTTACCAAAAGAAAGAGGCCTTATCACCGTGGAGTTTAATAAGGAAAAATATCTGTGCCCTGCTCAGTTTTCAAAAGCCATTATATCCATTCAATGTTCGGTATTTTCTACAGTGCTGGTTACAGAGCTAACAAAATAAAAGCCTGCTGAGTGAATGAATCACAGGATGAAAAAAGTGATACAGTAATTTCTCGAGAGCTCAAATTCCTTAACAGTGATCCTTCTAGGCGGCCTGGTAAGGGTTTGGGCAACAAGAGGAGTTCAGTGCATGCCACAAATGTGCGTGAGATGCTGCACAGTATATTCATGTTCAAGAATGTCACACTTAAATGAGGTAAAATTTGGAGGTTACCATCCCCACACTAACATTTGCCAGCTTGCACTGAGGTAAATATGAAGAACTTTAACTGTTCGGTGTTAAATTAATCAAATCAACTGAACGTTCAAACTTCTAGGTGGCTCAAAAGGGAAAATGTACATAAGGAATATTTCAAAAGATTCACTTTCAGCTGAAATGATACAAATTAAAATCAGTGCGAACTCATCACTGAACAGTAAGAGAAGAACAAAATATAAACTCGATTCTCTTGGCGCACAGTAGTCAAAGTGGTTTGCTCACATTTGTTAAAATCAGAACTGAAATGATGATGTGTACAGAAGAGAAGGTCAAGTGGTTTTTCACTCTAGTCCAGTGTGTCAATAAAGTACTGCCCCTTGCTGTGAGCTGCTCAGGGCATGTGGGCTCATGTGGGCTCAACGGAGTGGTCAGGTAGACTCACGGTCACCCTGACGGGAAGCCTCTCTATCTCAACAACATATGTGTCTGCTGGCACTTGTGGACTCGCTGAGACTTTAGGACGTGCCTTCTTTTTCTGGTACTGTTTCCCAGACTGGCTCCTTGATGTGTCCTGGCAACTGTTCTAGTTTGGTCTAAAAAGAGAAAAATAAAATTATAACATAACGTGGACTTAACTGAACTCTTGAGCCACAAATTGGATTTATTCATTTTGTTCCCTTAAATCCTCTTGTCTTTTTTCCTTTCACCACCACTCCCCGCCCCAACATCTTTGTGTAGGGCTCTAAAACAAGGAGAAGGAACCCGGAGGGTGTATAAAACACTCTCACATAGTTCACTCAGTGATCTCCAGGGACTGCCAATGAATGCAGACCCCATGTCTTCAACTACTAAGGGGGAGGGAGCCTCAGGGGCAGCTTGGGGAGGATGTGGGCTGCACTAGCAGGATTCTGCTGGGCTGCAGCGCCTGTACAGGGAGGCAGAGACTCCAGCCACTGTGGCAACTCTGCCCCTAGTCCGCCTCAGGCCCTACCCTCCACTCGGGGGGCCAGGACAGGGCTGCAAAGTAGCAAAACAACAATACAGATCTCTCTCCATCGGAGCTAGAAATTCAAGTCATACCTTTGTCACTTCCATGGCAACTCCTTCAGGTAAGTTACGCTGAATATATTCCAAGTAGACATCTGCTGTACTTCCAGTTAGATGTTCTAACTAAAATTTCAAACATGAAATTGGTTCATGATATGCTGTTAAAGCAGAAATTTTTTCTTTTTTTAGTAAAAGCAGTATAGCTTTTCTTTTCTTTTTTTTTAATTTTTATTTATTTATTTGACAGAGAGAGAGACACAGCAAGAGAGGGAACACTAGCAGGGGGGGTGGGAGAGGGAGAAGCAGGCTTCCTGCTGAGCAGGGA